ACCCACTAAATGTAGGCAGGGAAAGAAAATAAATTGAATATGACAAAGAATTCATATAGAATAGTAAATAGAAGAGAGGAATTGGGAAATGTGTCAGGAAAAAAAATCTAAAAATTATTGGCATTACAAAATTGCAGTTAGGAGTTTGTAGAGGAAGGGGTAGGAGAGAGAAAAAGATAAAATGAAGTAAAAATTAGAAAGTATACAGGTTATAGGTTAGAGAGATGCTTGAGAAGATACAGTAGTGGAAATAGTGTTGAATCTAATAGAGCAATATAAAAATAAACATAAATATTTATGCAAGAGTAAAGATTTAAAAATAATTAAAGTAAAACAAAAATACCAGTTTAAATTTCTTCCTTGATAGAGCATGAGGGAGTGCCCTCTCCTACCTAAGTCTTATCAATTTAGCTTTGCTGGTGAGAGGTGCTTATCTTTATGTGTACTTCAAACATGACTGTGCAGGGTTTCAGTGGGGATCCATCAGTTTGCTTGTGAGGTTGAATTTCTGCCTTGCTTTCAAAAGTGAAGCCCAGCCTGTCATAGATGTTTCCCGACCCTTGACATGAAGTACTGCTGCCCAGTCCTTTTTCCAATTGTAATCAGTGGTCTCGCTAACCTTGCATGGATTTCAGTGTTGCCTGTACCTGCCCGTTCCTGTGTCCCTTTTGGCTATCAATGTTCATCCTACTGAGGCGCAGCCTGCCTGTGTCAGTGCTCTTAATATGACTTTGTTTATTCCACAGAGTTTTAGATCAGATGAACTCCCATGAGGGGTTCTGAGGTTCTCTGGGTCTCCTCTCTTGGTGTTGGAGTTTGGAGACACGGGTATGTACTGCTTTCTATGCTTTGTAGCAATATATTTAATTGCTTGTATCTTCTCCCTTCTTACTCCAACATAATATGTGATGTCTTAGGCTAGAGGCAGTGGGTAATTTCCCACTATCTGCTTCATGCAGTTTATTGGTCTGTCCTTTAAAATTTTTCTCTCTGTCTTTGCTTCGAGAAATTTACCTTTTCTGCCTTCTTTGAAGGATCCAAAGTAGGGGGAGGAATGATTGTGTTTTGTAGTTTATATTACAGTCTGGCATATATATATATATATATATATATATATATATATATATATATATATATATATATCAGTAGCGCTAAAGAAAATATTGAGATAGTATTTCTCAATGAACTGACAGTAACTGCTGCATACCATGTTACACAGTACCATTCAGTGAGCTCTCAGTGACATTTGGGGTCTGCAGATAGTCAAATCTTCAAGTTCTGGGAACACAACTGAGGTTGAATAGGTTGTTGGTTTATTTTGCACAGAGTAAATCTATGACCCCTGATCTGTCCAATCTGTGCCCCAGTTTTGTGGTGGGAGTAAGGAAACTGGACATTTTCCTTTAATGGGGATTTTAAAAGTAAAGTAGTTAAAATATCATGATACATGAAGAATAGACTGCTTTTAATTCTATTGAAAGTCTTTATATGGAAGAGAAAAATAACCAAGACCTCAGCCATTGTTTCTGTAAACATGAGCAACATATTTGTTCTGTCCATACTTCAGATTTGCTGTTTAATGACAGCAAGAGATGGAATTTGATAAAATGCTGTTCTCCATATTTTTGCCAATGTTCAGATTTCCCCAATGTTGAATACTAATTTCTTACCCTCAGTAGATCTTCAACTCACCAAATTTATTTTGAAAACAGTTTAATGATTATACTATATTAATTTGATATTAACTTTTACAAATATGCTTCTGAGTTTTTTCTTTTTTTGGATGGGTTGATTTTTACAGTTCTCTATATTTAGAATGTAAAAAGGGTTTTCCTTCACTTTTGTTATTACTTGTTTAGAAATAGAGTTTCTAGGTCATGGCTTCGCCTTACAGCTAAGCTTTTGCTATAGCCTATTAGTTTTGATTACATAATAGCATTAGTTACTGAATATTTTTTTAACTGCAATTTTGATTAATTTAAACTGAAAGTCATTTTAGGTGAGTGTCTGTAATTATAAATGAAGAAACAAAGTTAATAAAACATGTTTAAAGAATTAGTGACTTCCTTGGCATTACTTTGCAAATGTTGACAGTTTTTTCCAAATATAAATTGGTAATATCTAAATCTAAGTGATGACTTTTTTTTTCAAAGATAATATTTTATGTATGTTTGTATTATTCTTTGGAACATACACGTGAAGTACTTGTAACTGTCATTCCAGAGGTTACCTCAGTTACAAGGGTCAGAGCTGGATCCTCTTAGCTTACTATGCTTCTCTGTGTAATATCCTGAGAAATAAACTATTGAAACAGTCTTTCATAGGCTATGTGGTGGAGCTGATGGGGAGACGCTACCACTGTTGAGCACAGTCCTACTCTCTTTTCCTTCTTTGAGTGTGAGTGTTTCCTGTCCAGTTGATGTTAGGTTTTCTGCCTGGCCTGCTTTGGCTAATGAATTGTGAGAAAATAGCATGTATGCCACGTTTTCATGGTTTCTTTTTTTTCATTTGCTTTTCTTTGTTGTTGTTGTTGTTGTTTTATTAGTATGAGAAGGAACTCCATCCTTCCCTAGCACCCAAATGACCAAAACTGTGGAAATTATTTAAACTTGATCCACAGCCTAGAGTAAACACATCATAGTAATACACAGACCTCATGCAATCAAATAAGATTGAAAGTTAAAAACTGTGGATGTGTTTGTTACGCGACATCATCATTTTAGGTCCCAAAGAAACCAAAAACCTAACAACATAAAATTAGTTGAAGTTGCCAATTCTTTCTCGCAGGATTATAAGGAAAACAAACACCCCAGTTGTTGATTACCTTGTATTTCAATAAATTTAACATTTTAATTTCAAATAACAAGTTCTTTAACCTTTGCATAAATCGTTTGTCTAATACTACCGGCTTATAAGCAGTTTTGTTTCTTAAATGAGGAGTAAGCCGGGCGGTGGTGGTGCACGCGTTTAATCCCAGCACTTGGGAGGCAGAGGCAGGCGGATCTCTGTGAGTTCGAGGCCAGGCTGGACCAACAGCCTCCAAAACAATACAGAGAAACCCTGTCTCTTAAAAACCAAAAAAAAAAAAAAAAACAAAAACAAAAACAAAAAAACAAACAAAAAAAATGAGGAGTATATTCACAATGAGAACTTGGCAAATCTTACCTAAATGGGGTGAAGTAGACCACGTAGAGTTTAATTTGGCTGTTCTGTTTTGCATTGGAATTATTAATTCGTGCTTGCAGATACTCATGCACTGTCTACTCTGCAGCAAATTCTGTTCTACATGTGAGCAATATTGAGAGCACTGGACATGTTCGTACACAGCTGCTGTCTTAGGCGGAAGGTAGAGGGGGCTTCAAGGCCAACCATATCAAAATAAAATAGAAAAGAAAGAGACAGATTTTATGTCTCATATTAAGGGAATTTACAGTCTACTAAAGGCCAAAACCAAACACTAGTAAGTTGTAATAGAGAAAATAACAAAGTATTTGATATTACCAAGTATAGGAGGAATTGTCTCACTCATGTATGATATAAAACATGGTACCAGGTGAAGTAAAGTAATGGGTGAATTAAGGAAAAAGTGATTTGGCTACAGGGTTCAGAAGAATTTTGGTAAAGACAAAATCAAAAGTGTGAAATGGAATTCTTATATTGATTCCCATTCTCTAAAAATAATGCACGCATTTCATTTTATGTATTAAATTTTGTCATTGTACTCATTTTAATGTTTCTGAAAGGAAGGGTGGCCAGATCCTGATATTAACTAAGAATAAAACATTTAATTAATGATAAGTTCTAAGTAGATGACTTTGAATTTGCTGCAGTGTGTTGATCTGCACTTCGTGGGAGACATGAACCATTTATGGCCTGCAGTCATGCAAGCAGATAGCAAGAATGTCTTGACCTGACTTTGTTACTGATAGAACCTTACATCATGATGCTTTTAGAAGTAGAGAATAATTGATTTACTAAATGGCCTGACTTGAAATTAATTCCATGTAAATTAATTAATGAAAAAACTTTTTGCTTTAATTCGGTAATTGGAAAAAAAAGATTTGAGCTGCAGTACTGTTAAAGTCTTGTCATACTGACAATTACATTTAAAATATAAGATTCAAAGAGTTATTTTATTAGATTAGCAATAAAATGTAGTTGTATGGATAACTCAGTGAATTTAAGAATTTTTTATGATTATCATTTATGTTGCATTATTCCCTGTTCTGATGTATATCTTACATTAGAGACAGTGTACAAAAAAGCTGTTGATTAGATATAATTTGTTAAACTTGATTATGTACAACTGATATTTGTAGGTAGAAATTTTAAATCTTTGTATTATATTTTTTGCATTCTCCTATTATAATAGTTATATATGGGCAAATCACGGTGTTCTGTGAGATTTTACATATTATTTTCTTATAAATTCTTTGAACAATAAAAGAATTAATATTCACAAGATACCCTTTTAATGATATTAAGCTATTATTTAATTGAATATTTTGTTGTTTCTATTTAAGTGTAAATGCAATGGTCACATACCTAAGAAAAAAATCAATATTAATTTGAAACCTGGACATTTGTTTTCTTGGAGAACTGAGTCTGAATGCGGAGTATATTATTGTGTCTTATAAACAATACAGTCTTTGCAATCTGTGTCATGAGAAATAGCCTCTGATGAAAGCTTTCAATCCAGTACCACACATTGATGCAACTAACTGGGGCTATGGGCAACATCCTAGACCCACACCACCTTCCTGTTTAGAAAATGCAGTCTGCAGCTGTCTAATGAACTAAGAAGGCTGAGTTCATGCATGGGAAATGCCTCACTTAACATTTAGTAGTGGAAACTCTCAGTAATTGTTATCACTAAGATTTATTTGGTAACCACTGGGCTCGTTAAATATTCACCTTAATGTTATTGAATTGGCAACTTATTAATTATGCAGTATATGCTTTCATAGGTAACTCTTTAATTGATTTTTTTTCTTTTTTAGGTCACTTTTCACATAGAGCCATATCACAATCGAAATGATCAAAACATGTATACAAATGTCAAGTATATTATAGACAAGTGAGTTTCTTCAGTGTTCATAGTGCTGTATGATCTGATGATAACTTCTGAATTCATTCAAATGATATCTGAGAGTTGGTTCATACTCAGTCATTTCTGATAATCTTACCACAAATAAACCAAAGAACATTTTCAGGTTTCTTAACATTTCACTATTTGCATAAAGGTTGCTACTTTAGGTATTGCTATATGCCTTAAAGGCTATTTATGATTTCCTTTCATGCTCATTTTACATTTCTGTTTTTCAGATCTTATGAGTATACATTTTGTTTTTTGAAGGAAAGTTCTGATGAAATGTGAGCTCATTTCATAGCAATGTTTGCATATCTGTCTTCATTAATATCTAGAATGACTAAAATAAAGAATTTTGTTATCAGTTTCATTCTGATAAAGCACTTTACAGATAAGATTCTCAGATGTATTTCATTTTACAAAGAATCATCTCAGCAACAAAAGTATACCTGTCACTGATAAGATAAACTGTTTTTTCCATTTGTGCTTTTCATAGTAGACTTTTATGGCTTTAGTCACCATTTGTTAACTTTGGCATGAGGTAATTAACCTCCTGTTTGATAGGATAGCAATGTGTCATATGTATAAAGTTAAAAGTATGTTTACATTAGCATTATTATACTTACAGAACTGACTCACTGAAGATTGGAACAATGTACTTAAGCTTCATGAATCGTTTTCAGTTTCAGTGCATAGTTTTATTGTGACATATTCTATGAGTGTTCATCTCACTTCCTTAATGTGTCTCTGTTGTAGATATGGAAGTCATCCAGCCTTTTATAGGTACAAGACAAGGACTGGCCATTCTCTGCCTATGTTTTATGTCTATGATTCCTATATCACAAAGCCTGATGTGTGGGCCAATCTGTTAACATCTTCAGGATCTCAGAGTGTTCGCAATTCTCCATATGATGGGTTGTTTATTGCACTACTAGTCGAAGAAAAGCATAAAAATGATATTCTTCAAAGTGGTTTTGATGGAATTTACACATATTTTGCCACAAATGGCTTTACATATGGCTCGTCACATCAGAATTGGGCTAACCTGAAATCATTTTGTGATAAGAACAACTTGATATTTATCCCAAGTGTAGGCCCAGGATACATAGATACAAGCATCCGTCCATGGAACACTCAGAACACTAGGAACCGCGTCAACGGGAAGTATTACGAAGTTGGTCTAAGTGCTGCGCTCCAGACACACCCCAGTTTAATTTCCATCACCTCTTTCAATGAGTGGCATGAAGGAACTCAAATTGAAAAGGCTGTCCCCAAAAGAACCATTACTACAGCATACCTGGATTACCGTCCTCATAAACCAAGTTATTATCTAGAACTAACTCGAAAATGGTCTGAAAAATACAGTAAGGAAAGAATGACGTACGCATTAGATCAACGGCTGCCTACTTCATAATGTCTCACTTATACCTAAGTTCAGTAAACATCTGTGTTTTGAGCTATGGAAAGAAAAACTGTCAAAATCAATGTGTGCTTGCTGTTACCTTTATCAACTATTTCGTTTTTACTTTTTAAAGATATTACTTGTCCTACAATGGACAATACTGTACCAAGAAAACATCTGAGGAGAGAGATTGTGTCTGTACCATTGCTCATGGCATAATTTTCTGAATTTCTGACTGCAATTGAAGTATTTATGGGATGGCCCTGTAGGGTTTTGTTTCACAGTAGAAAAATGCTTGCATTAGATAAAGCAGTTAAGATACAGGCAAGTCATACTTGTATTTGGGTCCAAAGACATAGAAGTGTATACATGCTAGGTATGTCTGACAACAGAAAGCCGGACTAAAGGACAGTAGATGGTTGTGCTTCAATTCTGAACTCTTCAGTGACTGAAATTTATTAGTATTTAGATCATGGCTGGCTTTCCCTAGCGATCAAATTCACTTGTCAAGTTTCTTGTGAGTACAAACTTGTTTCAATAACAGACTATTTTGTTATGTTTCTCTATTCTAACTGTTGGCCATGTTCTACTAAAGACCAGCTTTGTGTGGAGCATCTGTGGTGTCATCACGTGAAGACTCAGGTGCCTATGGTAAAGAGTTCCTTTGCATGTTTAATGTCCCTAGTTTATTCTGCTGAATTAAAGACTAGACACATTAGGAGGTAGCTTGGTAAATGTTAGTGACTGCTTCTCAGCTATGAGGAAAACTGTTGGTTCTCAGTATCATAAGGTTTATCAAATTCAGATACTCTGTTTTTAAGGCACCTTGTTAGTCTTTTTAGATCTCATTTTTATATGAATGTTCACCAGAGACTACTGAACTAAGAAAGATAATGTTACTATTATTCTGTTTTCTTTTTTATGTAGTTTTACCATAAATAATACACAAAATTTATCACTTAAACAAGAGTTAGATAACAATTATTTTTAAAGTAACACCATATTTTTGAGTTGTGTGTTCATATGAAAGTCTTACACTTTTGCACTGTCTGTTGGATTAAAAGAGAAAATGTCAGTAATCCATACCTGTCCTGTGGTTACAAACATAACTTTTATGCTAAATGTAAATTATTTTTAAAATGAGAAATAGTAAGAATCTACTGAACTCAATATCTGTAATTTCAAAAACAGCTAGTCTACCTAATTTTACACAAATGTTATTTCTTAATTCTACTGTGAGAATCAGTTGAGTCTGATTGTTAACAAATAATGCATGCTAATTTCCAGAGCATACCGATATTCAGAAACAGATTAGTTATGGAATCGATCATAAAATACATAGCAGAAGAAACATTTTTACGGTTAGAGAGGCTAATGAGTGAGTACAGTGCTTCCTATGCAAGCATGAGGACCTGGGTCTGGGCACCCAGAACTCACATAAGATGGGCTCTCTAGCATACATGTTCTACTCCACTGCTCCTGCAGTGGGCTAGACCGTGTAGACAGGCAAGATCCCCCAAGTGAAGCCTGCTGTAGACAGAAGCAAACAAGATCTTGTCTCAAAAATGGTGGGAGGCAAGGATCATTACACAAGGTGGTTCTGTGACATGGACAGTCACCCCATGTCACATTTAATCTCACACTTAGGAATGTTTGCAGACACGTACATACAGAAAAAAAATTTTTGAAGACTTATACTAACCTTACTCATATAATTAGAATTTTCTATTGATCAGAGAATTATTAGGTCATAAAATTATGAGAATAATAATCTGATATTTTTCAGGATAAATTCTAAGAATGAAAATATGGTAATATTTGATATTGCCAAGTATCTCCATTGAAATAAACAGAAATATCACCTGTACTTTTTTCTTTGCTTACATTAAAAATGAATTATCAATACGTAGTATTATTATTTAGCATATGATATTTTTCTTAATTTCTTATGTTCCATTTTATATTTGAGTCCACCATGACAGAAAATGAATTTTTTGAAACAATTCTGAGATTAAAGGAAAGTCTGCAAAAATAAGGCCAAACAACTTTCTGCATGAGTTCAACTCTGACTTCAGACAACTCGCCCTAGCTGCTGCTGCCAGTCTTCTCTGCCCATCTACACCAGTCAGCGAGAATTCACTTAAAGATGGGTCTTGTTTTTATTCTTACAGAATCACTCTCTAACAAATGACTGAAGTATCTTTTAAAACCTACTAGTTGATAACTATATAAATAACCAGAGTCTCCCCTCTGGTTTCCACAACCAGATATTCAACCAGCTAAGATCAGAAATACTCTGTGAAGGGGGAAAAAATCCATTTGTATATAACAAGTATGTTCAGGGTGTTTCTGTCCTGTAAGCCATACTATATAATCACAATGTACTTTTTTCTAGGTATTGTAAATAAGCTGAGAGGATTTAAAGTATACCTGAGGATTATTCTAGGGTATGTTCAAATACTGTTCCACTTTTTCAAAGGACTTAAGCATTTTCAGCTGTTTTTATCTCCGGGTCCCGGGGCCAGTTCCACACTAGTACTGAGGGGTGGCTATATTAGCAATTATTGCTAATGATTGCTAGAGGAATGCCTTCAGCACCCCCCTCTGCCCCGCTCCCTACCAGGGTGTTCCTTTGACTACCTCTGCTGTCTGACTGGAAACACAGCTGGGATTTCAATGATCACTAGTAAATTTAATGAAGCGATACAGTTCTTATTTTTAAAAATCTGAATGTTTGAATTCAGTAAACTTAAAGAGGTATAATATATTCAATGTTTGGATTATAATCAATTCTTTTATAAGGTATTTAAGGATTAACCCATCTAATTATTTAGATTGTAGAGAATAGCCAGATCTTTTTCTGCTTGTAAGAAATAATTGTAAAAGGCTACCCTTATTAATGTTTATCCGAGTTGTATATTAATTTGTTTATTTTCTATTATTTATGTGTATAATTTTGAAAGTGATTTATTTTGTTGTATGATGTCACTTTTGCTCAATAAAAATATAAATGAAAAATAACATTCTTAACTGAAAAAAATCTGTTGTTAACTTGTGACAAGTTTTATTGAATTTCTTATTAATATAGGAAAGACAGTATTTAGTCCATAGAAGATAGAGCACTTACAAGTTAGTTACCTCATATTCACATAAAAGCCATTTTTTGTTTAATTCTGGAGAATTGACTTTAAATTTAAAAAAATTTTAAATTCTATTGCAAAATTTTAAAAATTAATTGTATTATAAACTTAAAATTTTTTTAAATTTTGTTATAAAATTATTAAATTTTTACTAAAAATTTAAAAATTTAGAATTCCCCGGTAATTTTTGCTTCAGAATTATTATAATTATACATTACCTCTGATGAAAGCTAGTCTAAAATAGTGAAATAACAAGCGTCCAGAGAATGACCACATCCATAGCCATGACCTTTGCACACTGGTGACAGTTACTCAGTTTATTAATGATGACTTCCCAAACTCTATAAGAACTGTAGCAACAGTCCTTTAAAATTGTCAAAATATTATAGCTGTAGTGAACCAACTTGCTTCCTTAATTTCTTTTTCACATAATTCATGACTGCCATATAGAAATGTGCTGATTTTGTATGTTACTATCAGGCCTCACAACTGTGCTTGATTTATGTATTCCAGCAGCTCTGGGTGGAATTAGGAGGAAAGGAGTTGCCTCTGACCATACGATCATTTCATATTCCCACAGTGGCAAGTTAATTTCCAATTTGTATATGCTTTTCTTTCTTTTGACCTTACTATGTTTGATAAATACAGAGATGTTGGGGTATATTAATTAATCATCAGGCACTTGAGAATTATCTAGAAAAGCAACATTTAACATAAATGCAGCAAAAAAGTATATAAATACCATTTCAGAATAAAAAATTACTTCATGATAGGCCAAAGGTTTTTATAGTTTGGAGCATTCCTCTGAAATTAAAATGTACTCCAAATTAAATTTAAAACCACTTGGTTGTATATCTACTTAAAGTTTAAATATTATTCTTGACCTTAACCTATTTTTTAAGCCTTAAGAATTCAGGCACTGTTTCATTTACTACTTTATGGAGACTCAGCTTTAGTCAAGCTCGTGAGCTAAGCAGTATTGCTATTCTAATACATCAATGAAGGAAGCATTTTTCAATAGAACTGGGGACTTTATTGTTATATAATTACTATTTAAATGATGATATAAAATTGAATAGTCAAAAGCAAATCATGAGTCTAAAATTTGCTAAAATCAAAATATAATAGCATTTTCCAAGTGTATGTCCTAGATTTTATTTTACAATATAAAATGAATTTTAAGTTGCATAGGTTACATAAAAACTAGCTGTAAATTCAACTATAAAGTTAGATGGCCTTTAGAAAATGCTTTGAAACAAATATTTCATGATTCAAAGCAAGGATTGCCATGAGATAATAATGCTTATAATTCAGTGTATGTTGTATATTCTGTAATGCATCATATGTGTATATCTGCTGCTTTTGAAAATAGAACAGACTTTATAGGAAGATTGGGGTAGGGTACAGACAGAAGCAGTGGTTTGGTGGGGGGGGGTCTGTTTTCATGGGATATAGGGTTGAGGGAGACAATGCAGGAAGAGATGGATGGAATTTGGGGACATTTGGGGGGTTGTACAGAAACTGCAGTGGAAACTTCCTGTAATGTATGAGGGTGATCTTAATGAGGACTTCTATTAATAGGGGATATGGAGTCTCAACTGGCTATTGTTTGTCTCTAGGCGAGGCTTCCAATGGTGTGACTAGCTTTCATTAACTGTTGTCCAAAGGGGGTTCTATGGAACTTTCCAAACAACCCAGACTGTTGTGAAGATGAAGGGTTGCTCTCCACAAACCAACAGTTGTGGCCCCATTGCTAAGGACAACACCCTCACTGAACATGGAGAAGTCAAGTTGGTGCCTACAGGGAATTTTCACACCTGCAGTTTAGTCTTTTTTGTTCAGAAGGTACTCTAAAGGCAACCGAAAGAAAAATATGGACACCAACCCAGCCATAAAACCCTTGACCTACAGTCTGATCTGCTTATAGAGTATGCTAGGGCACAGAACTTGTGAGAGTAGCCAAACAGTATCTGATCTGAGTTAAGGATCACTTCAGAAGAAGGAACCCATACCCTACGGGACTTGGAGTCCTAGGGTAAAACCAAACACTTATGTCTATATCTATATCTATGTCTATATCTGTATCATCTATATCTATAACTATCTCTATATCTATGTAGATAGATAGATCAAGGACAGATAGTTAAATATAGATATTCCTAATGATATTTTCTATACTTATAGATGAGTTCTTTACCCTGTCAGCATCAGAGAGGTTTCTTCTGGCAGCAAATGGGAACAGATGCAGACACCCACATCCAGACATCAACCAAAAAGAGATGAGAGAGGAGAGACAGAGACAGAGAGGATAAATTAGGGTCTCCATCAAATCCCTCCCCTCAGGTCTCAGGGAATCTGGCGGAAGTGGAGGAGGTAAGATTTTTAAGAGTAAGAGGGAATGGAGGACACAAGGGAAATCAAGGCTCTACGAATCAACTAAACAAGGGGCATATGAATGCAGAGAGACTGAAGCAGCAGGCACAGGGCCTACATGGGTCTGTACCAGGACCTCTGCGTATATATTATAGAAATTAGCTTAGTATTTTTATGGGACTCCTGACTGTGAGAACAAATGGATCTGTTCTTGGGACTCTTTTCCTCATGTTGTGTTACAATGTGCAAATCAACAGGTTAATTTTTTGCTTAATTTTATTACATTCTATTTTGCCATATTTGCTTGTTATCTCTTAGAAGCCTATTCTTTTGAAGTGAGTGATAGAGTGAGTCAATCCAGAGGGAAGGGATGGTGGTAGAGAGGAACTGAAGGAACAGAGTGAGGGAAAAATATAATCAGGGTGTATTGTGTGAGAAAAAGAACCCATTTTCAATAAAAGGGGAAAGGGAAAAACTACATCAACTGATATGAGATACCGTTAGTTTTTGGAAGCATATAAAAATGTTCTAGAATTCTCTCAAATTTGTCAGTTTTTGTAGGACTCATACTTCAACATTTGCTGATTGTCCTTATAAAAATTAATGTATCATTTGCAAATTCTCAAAACTACTAAAGAAAAGTATCCCTCAACTTTTCTCCCTAATTTTACCTTGTTTAAGTTGAAATTATGGTCACTAGCCCAGTTCTAACTCTGTATTTCAGAAATACCAGAAGAAATACTTGATTCCCCTAAGTATTTGTACATGCTGTGCACATGTAGCAATGACTGCTCCGTTCAGGAGTTGCAAGCCTGCAGAGGGTAGAATGCTGGTATATTAGATATTTCCTTCTGTTCTAAACTATGTCATACTTCTGTTTTATGCTTTGATCTTCAGAATATTCCTCATCTTAATTAGACCAGAGTAAGAAGGCTTCAGGCCTCAATTACATCCATTTGTAAGAAATCTCAGTCTGTGGTAAAAATTTGCATACGAGTGTAATGAGATCTTAGAACACAATAGCAAGCAGTTCACAAATGATAAATCAGAGAATGAGCTTCTCTGGAAAAATCATAATGGATAAAGTTAACAAGACTGGAATTCTCAGGGGTTGACTTGATCTGGATCTTAACAGCTTCCTCTCAAGTAGGACATTGAAAGCAATATTACAACCTATTCCATAATGTATGTAGAACTGACATAATGTCTGGCACTCAGAATATTTTGGTAAATCAGTTAAGTTCCTTTGCTTGGCATGTGTCCTGACAGACACCTAATTAATCACAGCTGTCTCAATTCCAGGGCTCAAACCCAACTCGTATTAGCTTCATCAAAAGAAAAGTTTACTGGTGAAATAGAAATTCCCTGTGAGATGAAAGTGTCTGTAAAGGCTTTAAGTGAAGCTTGAGTTTTCAGGCTGGACCATGATTCCCTTTCTACAGCACAGGAAGTGGCACAATTTATCAGATATTTGTACACCAAACCCAAGGACACAGGCATAACAAGCCTAATCATCTCACTGTATTGGGATATGTGAACCTCAAAAGTTAAAAGGGTGTGTATGTGTGTGTGTTTGTACACAAGTGTTAATAAACATTTGGCAAACACCACCAATAGATACTTTCCAAAGAAAATACTGTACTTAAACTTGAAACTCATAGAATGAACACATTGTGTTCAGTTAATTTGTTAAGTGAAAGTAAAGGCACAATGTTATTTTGGGGAATGATTGTGGAAGGAATTTGGAACTATTGGCTGGAAAAGTTGTTGAATGTTCACAGATTAGTGAGCTATTGTAGGAACTTGGAAGATAATACCAAGAACAACCAAGATGGAGGCACAGTTTGCAAAGTTTCAGGGAACGTTTTGAGAGTTCCATAAAAATTCTATTGGGACCATTTAATATTATAAATAATCTGTGCTTCTTGACATCTGGGATTGTTACTAAAATGAGAGCAGCCTTGAGGGAAATTTTTCTGGCAAGTTTCATGAGGATCAGCAACCTGCTTTTTTCCAGAAGTGGCTAACAGTATACCTCATGCTAGCAGCCCAACTGGTTAATGTGTAAGAGTCTCTCAAATGGGACTAGTTTTGAAGGCATGAAGCAATCATGGCAGCCAGATGGGACATGGCAACATTAGAGACCAAGAGAGTCCATTGGTGCATAGGGTAGCTTCAGTTGCAGTACACACCCCATATTGAGGGGGATAATAGAGAGAAATTGAGGTCTGGAACCATGTGGTAGGGTTAGAGTTACAGAGAGAGCTCAGGAGAGGCCATTGGTGAAGTTGCCACCCAATTGCAGTAGAGACCTCAGCAATTTGGAGATGCCAGTGCCATAGAATGACCACCAAGTACAGAAGCCACTGTGGAGAGGAGCTGGCCTGAGACTATGGCATAAGCTATGTTTTCATGCTGTGAATTGTAGAGTCAGAAAAGTGAGATGCCTAAGCACTTTCATGTGTGAACCCCAGATGTTGGAAACTTAGTTATTTACACTTAGGGACT